GCAGACAGCATTAACTGTGTGAGCAGGGTGCAAAGCAGGGCATGGAAACTGCCAGAAAAGCTACTGGAACCAGCAAAATCCCCTGAGCACCCAGAAACTTCCTGTAAGACACTTTGCTGCTGCTACAAACAAGATTCTGCAACCCCTTGGATATTGTTACAAGAGAGAAATGTGTCATCTTAGCAGGGGGTACAAAGCACACCCACAGGCTGGTGAAGTTAGTTTTTGTGTTACAAGCTGTAATACTGTTCTCTCAGTCCTCTATCTTGAATTGTTCTTTTGATACTTCTGCCAGTACGTATGGAATGGGTGGATGGGAACAGAGATGAGAAGAACAGATTGTACAAAGTTTGACAATCATAACTAGCATAATCATAAGCATTAATATTCATATTAAGTTCCCAATGCCTCACCTTGCTTCTGTGCTTCATTCCCTAGCATGGTGGTGTGCTTTTTTTGTAGGTGGTGGGAATTGCTTGGACCCACACCAGAAACGGGGAGAAAAAGGGAAGAATGATCAAATCAGTCCCACACAAAAAAATTGTCTTTAATTCCTCCTTTCTACTGCCTTGACCAGTCATACTGTACACCCACTGTGAGACTCAGACTGCTTTAAAATAATACAACTAAAAAACCAAACAACAACAAAAAAAAAACCCCAAACCTACCACATAAAAATAGAAATTATTCATTTGCAGTTTCAGAGATATGTTTATGTTGTACCCTGTCATAGGTTAGCCTTTGACAAACACTGAAGCTCTAAATCTAGAAGAGTTATATGATATTTTTCTAGACAGTCTGAGTATCATTATAAATTCTGCTGTTGAATAATGGCAGTTGAGTGCCGTCAGCAGGGTTTCTATGTGTGTAACGCAGTTCATGGCAGCTTTTTCCCAGCAGATGGCACGAGCGCAGCCGTGACCATCCCGACAGCTCTGCAGGACCGGGCTGGGCAGGAGCTTTGCAGCACAGAGCTCTGAGCTGCGGCTACGCTTTCTCATTTCCTTCACAGCCTTTAACGGAGGCAAGGTTCCTACTACGAGGCTGAATAAAAAGTGTCATTACGTCATTTCTAGGGCCGGTTTTGTCTCTGTTATTTTTGCTTTCTGGAGACTAGAGCACCATTGCTGAAAAAATTGACCCACAGACAAAATGAATAGCAAACATTACACAAAATTGGGTTTGATTTGTAGAAAGTATGTGTAAAATCCAAAACGTGCAAGGTGGTACAAGATCGAAAGCTCAGCCTGGAGGCAGGAACAGCACAAACTGTGGTGGTGCCAGGAAGGGCAGGGAGGGGCTCAGCCTTTGCATCTGCTCTGTACAAACGGGAATCATCCTTCTCTGCCCATGTCTTCCAGTCAAAACAGAAAAAAGGATGTGAGGGGTAGCCCCCTTTATACCCTACACCCAACGTGACTGAAGTAAGGGTGGAAGTGATTCAAGGACAAATTCTATGCCTAAATCTGTCTTGATCACTGTACACAGCTAAACAGCAAAGTTTAGCTCTATAAGGTACTAGCAAGTATGAACTAAAGATTCACTTCTCCCCTCCCCTGAGCAGGTCCTCTTCAGCCCCATGGAGCCCAGAGGTGTCCAGGTCACCACATCTGCACTGCCATGGCTGTTGGGCTGGGTGACCTTCAGAGGTTCCTTCCAGCAGGATTTTTCTATGGCTGCCTTCAGGAGCTTGGCTACATTTGACAACAGCTACATCTAATGGCACTGAATTACAGAAAGTTCTTGAGATGGACTGCCTGTTATCCAGGAAGGCCAGGCATTCATCTCACCTCAGCACAGCCTTTAAAGTGTAAGGGGACTAAAGAGAAGAGTAAAACAACAAGAAAATAAATTATTGCACAGGACGACAAATGGAAACAAAACCATTGCAAGACGATACCAGGCAGGAGACCTCTGGCAGCGCCCATTAATTCCTGAGGGAGTACTGGGTACTGGGTGAATCCAGTTTTGGGGCTGGTTTAAGAAAATCAACATGGCATTGGAAAACCCTCCCGGCAGTATTGTAGCAGCTGCTGATTAGCAAGCCCTGGAAGGCAGGGCTTCCGTGGTGTAGTCCCCAGCAGGGGATAGGAATTGTGCTCATAGGAAGAGCTGTTTCCCTCAAGCTTTTCAGAAATTAGTTAGCTCTTCACTGCCTGAGTAGGTGCAAAGGGTTTACAGATGTATTTATTATCCCTAAACAGGCCATACAAAGAGGTTTTAATTTTTACTAGTTTACCTGAAGATTATTTTATTCCAGGGCATGAAAGGCTTCACGCCCCCTGCTCCAAAAGCTAGCACAGTTAGCAAGCAGGAGTAAGACAGATCACTGAAAGGCAATCACACTTCTTTTCACAGTGAAAATTACCAAATATTCAAATGATTCATACATTCAAGTAAAACCAAAATATACACATGCAAAATTTCAGTAATTGAACACAAACATGTCATCATGAATCCATTCTCAGTGCCACTGAATGCCAAGACAATTCCTGAATATCCCGAAATTAGCACCGTAAGAGCTGAAATAGACTCACCTGCTTAATTAATTGCTACCTTTGTTTGATGAGGAGTGTGGCAATTTGCAGATAGCAATATTTATACGAGAAATGCCATGGGCTTCATTGTTGCTGCCCACCTCTCTACCCACCAAACCCACCTGGATTATAATCACCACCTTCAGACAACCCTGTTGCACACACAAATTTCATTCATTCAAGCGCATTGATTTGAAGATATTTTTGCTTCCTAGTCCCTTTTTCCCCCCCAAGATTTAATTCAGTTGCTATTACAGACATGGCATTTTATTCTGAGAAGGATTGTATTTGTATTTATTCTTCAAGCTAAGTGTTTTGTTTAATATGCTTGTTGTAAATAAACTCTTTTACCCCTTGTGGTAAAAGGCCACAAGTTCTTGCTTTGAGAAACTGTTAAGTGAAATTGTTGCCAGATAAATGTTTCCATGTGGTATTTGCCTCTTAATTCACTTAAATACCTTTGAAAGACTCAGGCTCCCAAGGACCTTATGTAACAGTTGCAGGGAAGGAGTTTTAAAGGGAGGAAAACAGTGAAGAATTACAGAAGCAGTTAAAAGTTGGGAAGCAGAAATATTGTCACCTCCAAAAAAAAAGAATTTTTCCCTGTATACACAAAAGACAGCTGACTGGAGCCTCAGGTAGTTGGGAATTGCAAGCTGCTTCTCTCTTCAGCACTGCAGAAAATCCAGCCATTTGAATATTTCCTAAAAGTATTTCATATTCACCCCCCAAGGAAAATACATATTTTGAAATACATATGAAACTCCTTAAATTTTACCTGCTGCTGCACTGCCTGATGACATGCCTTCCACAACACATGGACATTCACGAGGGCAAATTGTTCTGAAGGGCTTCACAGCGGCCTTCATTCCACCTCCTGGGGACCGATTTCTAGGAGAGGGAGCACTGAGCACATCTCCCAGCATTCCTGCTGCCCCTCTGCTGCTCCCCTGCCGGCTCCACACCTGCAGAGAGCGCAGCAGAGCAGCACATCTGCATTTGGAACTCAAGAGCAGCGCTGGGTGTTCTCCACACAGGGCAGACCTCTTCCACTCTGACGCCCCTCTCTCCTTGGATGGGAAACAGCAACAGGCTCCAAGGCCCCAGCAACAGCTTCCTCATCAGCTTCCCACTGCAAATTATCCTGTGCTCTGTACTTGTTATACAAATGGTTAGAGGTATTTACATAAAATGGTATTATTGCTCCACTGACAATCAGTCTGACAGAAGGGTTGATTTGCTGTCAGCTGGCAAATAATGTGGCAATGTTCCTGCCTAGAATAATTGCTGTCAATGCTAGAGTTGCCTGGAACTTGTTAATAGGACCAGATTGCTGTGGAGGCTGGTCAGCAAAAGGTTCCTCATAAAAGCACAGGCACAGCCTTTCTAATCCCCAGGTGATCCTCCAGGAAGTGCAGTGAGGACTGAGAGCTAAGGCAGTGTCACACGTGTACAGAGCAGCACCACAAATAACTTGACTGTGCGTTTACAGTAATTTTATTTACAAGTTACCATGACACCTGTAGTACTACAGTTTATAGAACACCATTAGCAGTAAAGTAAGTCACATCTAAGAAGGAGGCAGCAGAGAAAAATGTGCACAAGGGAATGCAGAAAGGCTATTTAGCTCTAACTGAAAGTATTTTTCTATAGACTTAGTAAGAAGGAATATATGTTGAGAAGAACATAGCTTCTTCAGCCCTCTTATTTCTACAGTATTGAATTTTTTTGTACAGTGACAATTTAGTATGACTACTATACTAGCAGTCAAATGCAAGTGATAGGGAGAAAACTGTCTTAATATCTTGCCCTTTTGAACATCCAGAAATTAAACCCCAAGCTTCCCTTTGGACAGAGTTATCCAGGGCTGGTTTACTTGCAGAGCCAGTAGTGCAGAATTGCTACTGGGGGGCAGGAGGGAACAGAACTCATGACTAGAGAGTTCCCAAGCATTGCATATTGCCTCTGAGGTCTTATCTGCTCTTAAGTACTTGGTGAGCAAAGCCAGTTGCAGCATTCCATAAGTCTTTTTACAGTGCTGTGCTCTAAAGCTGAGCACAGTTTAGCAGAATCCCAGAATCAAGCAGAGAAAAAAAACCCTTCTGCTCTCTTATCATCATTGGCTCTAATGATGCTGGTGTTGAGCCTGGGCCTTTCTCAAGAAGAACAATGTGGAGGAGCAAATCTGGAGAAACACTCTAGACTTAGATGTATTCTGATGACAAGACTCAGAAGAAAATAAGCTTAATGCAGCATCGGGTGCAACCCTTTTCTGCTTCAAAGTACAGCAACAGCTTCCAGAAAGCAAAGAAGTGTTATCCAGGACCTGGCTTTCCCCTAGACGTCTTTAATGGCCTGGAGCGACTGTCAGTGCACACAATCCATGCTAGGGGCTGCAAAGACAATGAATATACAAGCTGCACAGTAATAATTATTTCCACTAGTAACTACACACAGGATATATTGCTTTTGGTACAATGCCATTTATTGTCACAAGAAGAAAACCAGTGATTAAGTTGAGCACATGAATTATGCAGACCTTTGCCATGCTGGAACAACAGCATATTTTACTTACAGAAATGTCACCAAGTCAGCTGTAAAAACAGCTTAACACAGTTCCTCCAAAATACCAAGCATATCCTCAAATCCAAATTTATATTACATTTAGCTACAACAGAATGATTAAGAAATGGTTTTGTTTTCAATCCCCACTTTTGTCTGGAGTGCTGTGCTTATACTGCATGGAGGCAAACAGAATCCAAACACGGAGCTACAGTGACAGCCACAACACCCACTGAAATATTTCTGAGTGGGAAAACTGGTCTGCAAGTTTGTGTCCCCTCCACACCTGTGCAAACCTACTCAGAAAGCCTGCAAAGGTATGTATGTGTACAAAAACTAACAAAGTTTTTTAAAACACAGAATGCATTAGAAAGTCCAAAGTTTGAACTCTTGAGCCTGTGGTGCCTCAACTGTAAGTTAGAATATCTGTGAGTTTTAACTATTCCAGGAACAAAGAAAGGATTTTTAGTCCAAATTTCCTTTTCAGTACTAGCTAACAAAATTAAAGGTGACCTAGGAGAAAAAAGCTCGACTAAAAAACCTTCCAGCTCTCTTGCAGTATCAGTTCAGTGAGTCTCAAGCCAAAATTCTGAATATTCAGCATTTTTGCATTTGCAATTTTAAGGCAGAAAAAGATGTTCACAGCAAGCCATTTTGTCTTGGATGTTACAAAAAAATCACAAACAACAAACCAACAAAAACAAATAAACAAACAAACTACCCTCCTAAAAGGTGCATCTCAATTCTTTTAGTAATAGCAAATTTTAAAAAATTCTATGGCATTCTCTTACAGCTTTGGATTTTTTTTTTCTAAAAAAGCCTGAATTTTCAGACACAGATCACATGTCACAGATAGAGATTAACATTTTCCATGATTTTAAGTTGTGTGTTCAAGGTCAGAATGAAACTCACAAGGTGGAATAAGAGATCCCTGCACTGCTGGCTGCTGCAGGGCTGGCCCAGCACTGGAGCTGTCCTGCAGCACCTCGGGTTTCTCCCCAGAGCCAGGGCTCCAGGCCAGCTGCTGTACCCAGCCCTGTGAGGCACAACTGTGTCCTCGGATCAGCTCTACAGAGGCAAAAAATGAAAAGCAAATAAAAGCAGAGCTGTGAGACTGCAGGAATCTACAAGCGTGTGAGGCAAGGAAAAGAAAGAACAAAGGAGTGAAGTCATCAAGCCAGAGCACACAAGGGACTTTGGAGAAAGATCCCAACATGGAAAGTGTAAACCCCTGAGGAGGAGCAGTGTCACTGAAGAGGAACTCAGATCAAAGGTCAGCCCAGTGCAAGCAGTGAGGCAAGGAGAGAGAGGAGCTGCAGGCAAGAGCTGAGCGCACACAAACTCACAGACTGGCAAGAGACATGAAAGTATTTTTATTACTGTCTTTTTAGGTAAGAAACACTGCAAACCCAAGACCCTGGCAAGGCTTTTCTTGCTCTTTTCAGGGAAATCAGGAATAGAAGACTTCAAGTCTCTTCAGCCTTCACATACAAACACAAGCTACCTCTGTACTAAGCTAGAAGGAGCACACATTACCACACCAATTAATCAGCTGGAAAGAGAAGGAACTTCAGGAAAAATAGGCTCTGTGTGTGTGCATGTTGAGAGCAAAACAAGAGGCAGCTTTAGGGAACTTGCAGGAAGTTTTCAGTATTCACAAGGTACATCAGTTTAACAGGATCAATAATCTGCTGTTTATCATCAGAACGCTTACAAATCCTATAAAGATTTTTTTTGTAACAAGTGGAACTTGTTTAGACTCAGTTTCACAGAGAGAAAAGTAAATTGCCAATAGCAAGATGTCCTGAAAACAGGGCAGAGTTTTAGAAAACATTTGAAGGAAAGTTGTCATAAATTACAGGGAAAAAGACGGAGGGGTTACAGAACAGTTCTCACATCCAACTCCCAAGATCAGGTTTGACACAAACAGCACATCAGCAGGGCTGCCTTCCTGACAGGGATGTGAACACCCCTGACACCAGTGGAGGTTCAGCAGACACACTGAAGTTGCCTTTGAAAGCAGAGTTGAGGCTCTAGAACTCCTCCCGAAGCTACCTGGACTTGTGTGGGAGAAGAGCAAGGTAACCACCAACAGACCCAGCATACATTGATGCAATGATGTTTGTGAGTCTTCCACATTCCTCAAGTGTTTTATATTTTTTAAACTTTTCAGTGTTACATATATGCAATTTAGTAGAAAGAATAACTAAAGATGAAACATGCACAACACAGAATTATCTTTGGTCTGCAGGGTCCTGGGTCAGAGTTCTACACAGCTTGATGCCATCAGAGCTACATTAATCTCTTCCAATAAACACAGCTTGTCCTCAAAAGCAGCTCCTTGCCAGCCTTCCTGGTATCTGAGTGCAGCATCTCCCCAGCACCTGGGGGTGCTCACTGGAACCACCACCCCAACCCACATCCCAACAGCTCAGGAGTGCCCACTACACCTGAAGCTTACACATGGAGAGCTTACAGCCACTTCTGCTCAAACACAGGAAATTTGTGTGGTATTTCAAACTAATCCCACTGAAACAAGGACCACAACAATGCTAAGTCAAATCAGTTATTTGTCAAAACTTTCCTGGAGCCAAGCAGCTGTGCAGTTGTACCTTGAAGTCCCTTCCTGAAGTGCATGCTACAGTGAACACACCTTCTGCCAGGGGAACAGCCACAGCCAACAACAATGTTAAGAACACACAGAAACATGGCAAAAATGAAACTCTGTATTATTCTTGGGGGAAAAAAAGTCTGTACTCTGCAGTGAAAGCCAAGGAGGGGAATGAGAGATGAATTTTTACAAGCCAATCTCAGAGCTATTATGCACCTGCCAGATACGGTTAAGCTTTCTTTAGTTGCAGGCCACATTTTTTGCCTTTTCATATTAACTAGAGAAGTTTTTAGCTGCCATTATCCAGCTACACCTTTTAAGAGTTCAATTCTTTGAAGAAGAGTTAAAGGTCCATGACAGTGATATGAACTTGCACTGCTCGCAGAAATCCCACATTTCAAATCCCTGGTTGGAGAAGAACCTTTTTGTACTGAAATGAAAACATTTGGTTTCTAAAGATTACAGAAGTAAACATGTTCAAGATTTCATGGGAACAGTGCAATGTGAATATCCATAGAAAGAGTGTCAGAAAAGCCTGTGAGCCATCAGGTAACACTGACACTGATTTGCATCACTCAGCAGGTCAAGATTTCATCATTTTCTCACACCAAAGATAACACATTCTGCCTGTCTATAAAGAAAGCTCATCTGTGGTTTTTTTTTTTGTTGTTTTTTTTTTTTTTTGGGATGGCTTCCTTAATTGAATTCCAAGCTGGTACAGCTACACAGGGGGACACACCTTGAGCAGTTACAGCTCCTGCCTGCAGGCCAAGGAGGGGCAGTTTTGGATCAGCCAATGGACCAGCTCAGGCCAAAGCAAAGTCCCAGTCGTTCTAGATATGCACGGAACTATGCTGGTTTGGTAATACAGGGACACAATTTAATGATTTTCTTTGCATTTGTTTTTACAAGATTCAGATGCCAAAAACAAAACAGAACATTAAGTTACCTGATTTAAAAAAGAAAATCACAAACGTTTACAACATCAAAAGAATAAGACGAAATATAAACCTTTGCTACTTACAATTGATCTATACAGATTAACCAAATCACAAATCTGTCACAATATAAATGTTTAATTGTTACAATGAATAAGAACATACAGAAAATGATTTATTTATTTTTTATAAAATCTTCCTTTGCTTTTTTATTTTAAACTTACCATTAACTAAATTAGCTATGCAGGACTTGTGGGGTACGTGACTAAGAAGGCACCAACAGTACAAAGCAAAGACAAAGCAGTTTGAGTATTTTAAGAGTACTCTACACTGATACAACACGAGAAAAGGCAACAATAGTAAGTAAACCAGCTGCAACCTTTAGAAATTTGTTCTAGATTTACACATGTAGTCCAACTTTTACATTTCTGCCAATGTGTCACTTGGTTTGATCACAGCACATGCTACAAAAACCACTGTAAGCTTCACTTCACTAATGTGCACTTTTCACTAATTTAGTGTCTTGATTTCAATTGTTAACTAAACCATTTTGAACCACAAATGTATTTAAAACTTAGTAAAAGGATTGTTTGGACTTTTTTGTTTAAACCACTGCATTTACAAAAATATTTCCCCTAAAATCTGGGATTGCTTGAAGACATTGCTGTACAAATATAAAAGTACTATGCAAGGGACCAAATTCATAAGTATATGGTGTGTATGTATAGACCTATATTTATACCATATCACTGTGCTGTAACAACACAATAAATTTATCAATAACCAAGGACTATATAAACTACACTAACATAAGCAAATATATATTAATAAAGTTTAAATCTATAGTACAGTTGCTCAGCAAACAACTTTGACATGGTATAAATATATTGTAGCATATTACAGTGGGCAGCAACAACAGGTTTTTCATTCTCTCATTCTGCAAGGAAAGCCCTGCCCAGCTCCTCAGGTTTTGTCTGTCCCCACTGCCACTCCCGGAAGCTCCCGGCGCACGCGGCCCAGCTCTGGTGTCACAGGGGTGAGGAAGAGTCTGGCCACAGGCAGGACAGCAGAGTCAGAGGCTTGTTTGCCAAAGTATCCATGAGAATTTTGTGTTTGCATATTTTTCTTCAGCTGTAAGGTTGGAATGTTTTTGACAGTGAACTGTTTACATTCCTTATTCCCAAAGCATCTTTACCATGAAATATGCATGCTACTTCGATTAAGAGTTGCTGTTCTCCGCTCTAAAATATAAAAACTGCATAAAGAAAAGAACCCAATGTAAAATGATGAAATAACTGACCTAACACAGTGTTGTTAGAGGCACCTTCTTTAAACTATTTTTAAAATCTGACCAAAAAAAAACTCGTGCTTCAGCATTTGACGCATCAACAAATTCAACCCAACAATGTTGACTGAATTCAGTAAAAGATTGATGAATGTGGTTATGGATCCTGATGGATGCCAATTGGATTCAGCAAAAGTAGCTAAGGAAAAAAGCCCAAAAGCACCAGACATTAGGTAAAGCAAATCCTCGGCTTCTCACTCAGAGAGGATGCAAGGGTAAGTCTACACCTCCTCAAACATCCCAAATTAAAGACAGTATTAAAAAAAAAGAATTGGGAAAGAGAAGGGTGAAGTAAGCTGCCAAAGTTCTTCCTTAATAAATTAAAACGAAGGTGTTACAAACTAATTTCAGTAACAGTCATCTTTCCAACCATGCCAAAAATGATTCCTGTTGTAATGATGATCATGCAAGTAGCAGAGATTCTAGAACTATTTCAACTTTTCAAAACTGAGTGAGAAAAGCATTTTGGTAAAGATGTGTAGAAAGGTCAAGAGAAATTTCTACACTGATATCAACAGTCAAGTGCATATTTCTTCTACAGAAATGTTTTTAGCATAGGTTCCATACCACGATTCCATGATCACTTGTGCAGTGTCCTGACAATGCTCTGAATTTGTTCCCCACATCAGAGATTTATGTACCACAGGAACTTCCTAATAGAAAATGCCCTTTAATGATGAACCCTTGCTTATTAAAAATTAGTTTTGGCAGATTAACACTTAAACTATAGGAAAAAAAAATTGAAATGGAATCTTGTAAGCACCCTTATCTACTGGAGTCTAAGTTAATGGCTTTCTAGATTTCTCTGAAGAGCAGACTAAATGGTATGAGGAAGCCTGGAGTTATTAACCAGCCAGCATCCTTATGTACTACAGTAGCAATTGAACCTGATTTCCATTCAAAGACATTACCCAAGAGGAAACCAAAAACTAATTCTTAATGTTAATGTGAAGATATAAGATTTAAATTTATTTCCAGGAATTACAAGTGCATTTTGTTCATATTAGCAAGCAGTCTTTATACAATCCATTCTTCACTGCTGCCAAAATAAAATGAGAAAAAGACAGCAGAGATATGAAAAGCTAAAAATAGAACTATTTTTCCTAAGTTATTTGTTGAATAGCATTTCAGTTGAACACAACTCAGAGGTAACAATAGATTATTTTTTTTTCTCAATCATAGGCATGTGGCACTTAGACAATCATCTTTGCACAGAAAGCTTTAACAGTCATGCGAGGGCACAGTAATTATTTTAAACAAGGCAAATTTCTCACCACAGAGAGCAGTGGGGAAAGAAAAGGAGGCACTGCACTGGAACATAACACCTAGTAAACTCCACATTATACAATTTCAGTAACAAATACTTGAAAAGATCATTAAAAGGTATACAATTTTAAATGTTATTTAGTGCTAGCTTTGTTTGGTTGTCCTAACTCAGCATTATCAGAAAAGTTTGATAGTACTTGACAACAGAACAGTACTTCATGTCACGAGCTCATGGAGGCTTGATTACAAATCACCATAGTGTAGGTTGCAAGAAATGAACTTGAGATGCTGACATGCTGTAGGAGCAAAAGTAAAATCAAACTTTCTCATTTGAAGATGCAGTGTTCCTCTCTGCAAGAATCTGAATGTCAGTGATTAGATTCAAATGTCAAAACTATCAATCCTCATTTGAAGCATTTCATTGGTATGCAGGATGTAGACTGAGTTAATTAATATCATATTCTGAATTCTTGCTTGCCACCAGATACGGCTGCCTTGCCCAGGAAAAGCACTGGCCATGGGGTCACGGTGCCATCGTGGTCTGTGTTAACCCTTCCAGCACTCAGGGAGCAAAGAGCAGCTGCAGCTGCCACCTTGCCTTTGCACAGGCTGTACAAGCACTGCTGCATGGTAGGAACTTTGGGAGTACTATGCCTCCAACGTGGGTAAACTTTAAATGATCTCTCTTAGGAAAAGCAGGGAAAAAAAGGTACAAATTTTGTCAATACATGGAAAAAATGTTTCTTGGATGAATTCAGTTAAGATGGGCTCCTATGTAGCTCTTACATTGGATAGAATACCTGTATGTACAGCACAGGACACCCAAACAAGTGCATAAGCAAGATTAACATGAACACAACTTATGCTGCAATCCATAGCATAATGGAACACTCTGCCAGATGCTAACCAACCATTTCTATTTAAAAAGGACGTGCAAAAAAAATCTGGGATGTCACTGACTTAAAGTGCCCTGAATAGTAGCTTTTCTAAAAAAAATGCCAGCGACTTCAGTAAAGTCAGAAAAACAGTTCATGGTGTAAACGTCTTACAGGTGAATGGATTCTCTTCTTGGACATTGATCCAGGAGTGAAAGGAACCACTGCATCTTTCAAACCAGAAAGCAAGCAGTTAAAACACGGGCAGCAGTAGGTGCACGTACAGTACAGTACTGCAACAGGTCAACAATGGGCATTACGCATAGGAGTGTCAATTACAATTCTTCAGGCTTAAAAGATTCATTGAAAGCATGAAAAGCCAAAACTACCAGGAACCGCCCTCCTGAATGGCTCAAAGGAGTTAGTGGATAAGCTGAGAGAGGCCACAAGACATGACCAACAATAAAGAACTGGGAAGAGGAACAGCAACATTTGAGCATGCCCAGTCCTTTAAGTCCTTGTCCTACAAGAGAGCAGAGACATATTTCAGTGAAGGAAATTTAACATCACCTTTTAAAACAAGCCCTTTCCTATTTCTGTGCTCTGTGCACAGTGTGTTTACCATCAGCCAGAGCCAGCAGGATCTACACATGTTAAAAAAGAATTCAGAGACAGTGGATCTCAGGGCATTCAATTTTAAACTATTAATTCTTCAAAAGATTAGAAAGATTAAACATAACTAATCAATGAAGTACATTGTTTGTCTGAACCAAAAATCTGTTGTTTTCATATTGCTTCTCAATTCCAAAATGCACAGCTCAGGGGACACTTTGAATCTCAAGAAACAGCCCAGTGAGAGGAGCTGGCTGCTGAAGGCCAGGGGGTGTGCAGGAGAACAGGAATGCACAGCAGGACACTGGTACTGTGCATTTGAAGCCAGCTCCTGGGGACTGGCCCTCACTAGGATGTCAAGCAGCTCTGTTTAAACTGCTGTGCTATGGCAGAGCTGGCAATCCTACCCACAAATGACTTGGACAAATTACCAACTGTCCTCACCAAGCTAAGTACAGTATTTCAATTTCAGTGTTGTGCTGGCCAAATCAACTCTGCATAGTAGCATTTGAAGGTAACATTTTTATCAAACCAGAAATTTCTGCTAGCAACGGATCACCGATATCTTTATCCCTAATCCTTTTATCCCTTAATCCCTAATACAACCTAGGTAAATATGGTCTGAGCAATGAGGCAAGCAAGAGATCACAAACTGTGATTTACCACATCAGTAACCACTCACTGCCCTTCCTTGAGACTACAGCCTATGAGGAACAGGCTTCAGCTTGTTCCTAAAGATTTCTGTAACTTGTTTCCACCGTGTGTACATGCACAGCTGTGCTCTCACACAGAAAACATGAGTGGGACATGAACACCAGTCAGTCACTGTGTCCCAGGTCTGCTCTATTAACAATGCCAACCAATAGAACCAGTGTGTGAACCTCAGATTTCCCTACCTTTCAATTATTACAACAGTTCAAATATCACCTAGCAAGCTTAAATAAACAAAATGCAGTATTTGTAAAAATTGAAATTTGTTCATTTGTGAGCTTCTATACATCTAAATACTCAAGCCAGTGACAACAGCTGTTACCCTAATGAAGTAAAAACTTTTAAAAGTTTCCCCCACTTTCTTTTTCTTTCCTATGAATTCATCATTAAATGAAAACCTGGGGGTATATGCAATGCAGAAACTGCAATCACGTTTTTAGTGCAGAAAAGTTATTGCTTATAGCAAAGCACCAAAGCTCCAGCACACTGCCAGAGCTGTGGATTACCCCCGTGGGTTTCTGGCAGCAAGGAAGTGCCCTGGCTCAACACCTCACCTTCCTGCTGGAGCTGCCCCCACAAAGCAGTGATTGCAGAATGCTGCTCTGGGGGAGGAAAGCACAGAGAGCACAAACCAGGAAACCCAGGGCAGCCTGTTGCCTTTGGCTTGTTTTTCCTTTCCACTCATAAAACTTTGATACTTTCCCCTATCAGTATCACAGAAGTTTCCCAGGTGCTCCAATCAAGTCAGTGTTTGGCCAATTTGGTATGAAACTCCTGAGACTTGCAAGCCTTGTGGCACAGGAAGACCAGTTAAGTTCATTGACTTAAAAAAAAAGTCAGTCAGTGAATATAAGTACATTTAATCTTAAATTAAACTTTCAGACCTTCAAAATGCTAGGAAGGTTAATAATAATTAATTTATGAATATTTAAATACCTATTCTTATTTACTCACACTATTTGCGAGCTACTTAAAACTGAAGATAATTTCTGCTGAAGTTTTGTGTGTGGGTTTTTTCCTTTAAAATAATTTAAGAGATTTCTCCTCTGTACGTTACATTTAGGAGGAGGTTTCTTTAAAAGCCTTTGAAGCCATATGACCAAATTATGTATGTGTAAAATATGAAGAACATTGCCCCCTAAAATGTTTTTTAATAAAATTTGCATTTCAAAGTGTTACCATTGCCTTTATTCTAAGCAGCACTATTGAAATGCAATTCTTGTTCCCTAAATGTAACCTACAACAAGGTAAACACCTGGGACAGTTGCCTGGATTCCATGTGGACACTTCACTGCTGGGGGCAAACAGAAACTTTCCTCAAAAACAGGACAGGGCTGAGGTCAGCTCCTTGGACAGGGAGTTACTGGGCACTGGGACAGGCAAGTCCTACATTTCACCAGCAGCACCAAAGTCTCAATGTCCCCCCTGCCCAAGTGTCCCCTACTGCTGTGACCTTACCTATGCACGATTTAAGATCGGTATCCTGGCTGGAATCTTGCAGTTTCCTCAAAAATCAATTCTTTCAGCTTTTCCTTCGGCAAGTCATCCAACTCCATATCAAACTTGAAGGGTGCTTCAGCTACAGGCTTAGTAACACAAAGAAATATCATTATTTTAATGTCACCGTGCTGTTCAATTTCATGCAGTCCTTTTATGGATGGGGGAAAAAGTCTGAAAATGTCCTGCACAAAAATAGCTAACACTGAGCAGTCTTCAAGGCAGAACTCCCCCTGTTAGTCCTATGTGTGCATTATGTATTAGTTTATCAAATTTTACATCAAGCACAGTAAGTAGCTGGTCAAATCCAAACTACAAGTTGAAATATTTATTTGAGGCTCTTAACTCAGTATCTACTTGAAGAAAAAAATTATCTTAAACATTTTTTTAAATTGGAATAAACATATCTGGCCCTTAAGGGAAACTAGGTTATTTCCTCCTCCCCTATTTCTTCAGAAAAATGAGCCAGAAATCTCCTCAGAACTGTACATAAACTACAGCCAGTTCCAATTCAGGTTTATAAAGCATAATCTGATGGCAAACTCAGTCATCCTCCTCCTTTACCTCAGACATTATGAAACCAGGCCTCACATTAGCTGAGAGTCTCCATTTTCTGGAGAGGAAGGACACTTTAGTATCTATTTATTGTGTGGCATCTCCTAAGTGTTGTACTGAAGTGAGAAATTGTGGTAAATTGATGCAATTTGTTCTTCAACTCCGTTAGTGCAGTAGAAATATTCCCCTTGAACTGAAGTAGAAAATAATCAGCTGGATCATTTATCAATGTTTACATTTTAACAATGCCTTTACCTCATCACTTGGATCATAATACTGCTCCAGATATGGATGGGCTAAAGCTTGCTCCACTTCAATCCGCTTATGAGGATTAAAGGTCAACATTTTATCCAACAAATCAAGTGCTAAGAGGAAAAAAAATGAGCAAGGATTTAATACACACTCCAAAAAAGTGTCACAAACCTTGACCTTACCCAGACAATACCCACTGCCCAAGGTCTGTGCTAATGGCAGTGCAGCCCTGGAGCTCCCCTGCTGTGGCTGGGAGCTGTAACCTGGGCACAGAGGCTGTGCCTGCTCCTCTCAGCATTCCTGGGCTGCAGCTGCCCTGGGCACCCCTGCTCCAGCACAGGTGTTACCCTGCCCAAGCCCTTCAGCCCCAGAAGGGATGGCAAGGCAAGAAACACAGCAAATCCTACAGTACAATCTGGCCTGAACTATAACAGAAATTAAATAGATGAGGCTTTTTCTTCTCTCAGAAAAATGCTTTGGATTTTTGTGCCAAAATCCAAACTAAGATGGAGCTTTTCTGAAATAAATAATTATGAATATGTTCTTATTCTGAAAAGAGATCTTGGCTGTTTACAGATGAAAATATCATCCAGAAGTCATTAGGAGTTCTAGATCATCACAGTGAAATATTCTGGCACAACCAGCAGCACAGAAGATACTCTCCAGAGAAGATGCAAATACATTTATATTCATGAGATTCAAAATCTGTTGAAGACAACTCGCAAAGAATCCATAAAGAACCTGAGGATCCAGTAAGATAAGAGTGAGGTCTGGGGAAACTCTGGACAGGCATCACAAATCAGTGCTACTGCAGTTGGTCAGCTACTGTGCCTGTAACACATTTCCCTTTCCCAAGAAGAGAAAAACTGATTACAGCAGCAAGAAGCCCTAAGATATCTGCAGTATCCTAAATTCCATCACATTTTTTTTCCTCACCACATCATTGATGAACCAGAATTTTAACAGAGACTTCTTGATGCAGTGCAGCAGCTGCAGCTTTGCACCAGGATGAGGAGCACACCTGTGACCTCAGGTCATGGCACAGCCTGGGGAGGGAGGAGGCACCATCCCCATCACCCCACACTGCAGTGAGCTCCTCTGGGTCTGAGCAGCACCCAGCGCTGCCCAAGAGACCCAGCTGCACTCGAGGGCAGCTCCAAAAGCCTCAGGCCTGCACTGGAACCATCCCTGCAGCCATCCCTGGAACCATCCCTGCGGCCATCCCTGGAACCATCCCTGGAACCATCCCTGCGGCCATCCCTGGAACCATCCCTGCGGCCATCCCTGCAGCTATCCCTGCAGCTATCCCTGGAACCATCCCTGCGGCCATCCCTGGAACCATCCCTGGAACCATCCCTGCGGCCATCCCTGGAACCATCCCTGGAACCATCCCTGGAACCATCCCTGCGGCCATCCCTGGAACCATCCCTGCGGCCATCCCTGGAACCATCCCTGCGGCCATCCCTGGAACCATCCCTGGAACCATCCCTGCGGCCATCCCTGGAACCATCCCTGCAGCCATCCCTGGAACCATCCCTGCGGCCATCCCTGGAACCATCCCTGCGGCCATCCCTGGAACCATCCCTGCGGCCATCCCTGGAACCATCCCTGGAACCATCCCTGCGGCCATCCCTGGAACCATCCCTGCGGCCATCCCTGGAACCATCCCTGCGGCCATCCCTGCGGCCATCCCTGCGGCCATCCCTGGAACCATCCCTGCGGCCATCCCTGGAACCATCCCTGGAACCATCCCTGCGGCCATCCCTGCGGCCATCCCTGGAACCATCCCTGCGGCCATCCCTGCGGCCATCCCTGGAACCATCCCTGGAACCATCCCTGGAACCATCCCTGCAGCCATCCCTGCAGCCATCCCTGGAACCATCCCTGCGGCCATCCCTGGAACCATCCCTGCAGCCATCCCTGCAGCCATCCCTGCAGCCATCCCTGGAACCATCCCTGCGGCCATCCCTGCGGCCATCCCTGCGGCCATCCCTGGAACCATCCCTGCAGCCATCCCTGCAGCCATCCCTGCAGCCATCCCTGCAGCCATCCCTGCAGCCATCCCTGGAACCATCCCTGCAGCCATCCCTGCAGCCATCCCTGCAGCCATCCCTGCAGCCATCCCTGCAGCCATCCCTGGAACCATCCCTGGAACCATCCCTGGAACCATCCCTGGAACCATCCCTGCGGTCATCCCTGGAACCATCCCTGCGGCCATCCCTGCGGCCATCCCTGGAACCATCCCTGCAGCCATCCCTGGAACCATCCCTGCGGCCATCCCTGGAACCATCCCTGGAACCATCCCTGGAACCATCCCTGCGGCCATTCCTGGAACCATCCCTGCGGCCATCCCTGGAACCATCCCTGGAACCATCCCTGGAACCATCCCTGCAGCCATCCCTGCAGCCATCACTCTGTGCTTGGCTGTGGTTCCCTCACTCAGCCCCAGGCGGGCACAGGGCCCAGCGCTGCCCCTGCCTTCAGTGCCAGCCAGCTCCTGAAAGCTGCCCTGGCACAGCTGCCCTGGCACAGCTGCCCTTGGGGTGTCACTGTCAAGGACTGCAGCAATGGCACACTCCCCCTCAGCTGAGGTACCAGCACTGCTGCCACCTGAGCTGTCAGAGCCCACAGGGAGGATTCTCACACTGATGAGCACTGCTATAAAAGCAGAATAAATCACTGCTGTTTTCCTCAATGACAGAGATAATCAGCTCCATACAGTTCCATCTGCAGAAATCAGCTTTTACATGGTAATTCAGTACCTGATCATATCCAGTAAAAGTAAATTATCATATCAGTTCAAAAAGAAGTGACTTAGGAATTGTGCTAGAGCAGGTAAAAGAGCGCTGTACTGTGAACACAGCCACCCCTAAACTGCACAAAATTGAGTATAAAAGGTAAATTAATAGCTATCTAGCAAAACAAATCACATTTACCCTTTACTAAAGCCTTGTTAAGAAAGGTTAACAATTATTATATTCCTTGCTTTTATAACTTTTGCTCCACACATCCTGAATTTTTTAACCCATTAAATTTTAAGCTTTCATGGTACCTAAGGATCCCACCCGCTGACGAGACCCTGTTTAACCTACAATTGATGCACAGTCTGCAAACTCTACCCAGGGCAGCAGCAAGCAGCTGCCTCCTACCTAGTGCTAGAAACAAAGTTCAAGACTTGTTTGATGCCAGTGTCAAAATCCAGTGCTGATGATCAGCACTTGAATGATGAACTGTGCTTCTAAGGACAGTGACAAGAGTTTGGATCTCACATGTCAGTTAAAGACCAAACTCCACAACAGGTAATCTTAGAGTTACTAGAATTGCATTAAAAAGATAAACTAGTGTGAGGGCTTTGTGCTGGTTTATGATTTTATAATAGATTAACAGTGCTATTTTAAGGCACTTGCATGTTCTACTTCCAATATAAAGATAAATTCTTAGGTTATAGAAACTCCCATCCTGCCATTACTTTGATACAAAGTAATAGAGTATCAAATACCTTTGGGGTCAGCATTTGGAAACAGCCTGTTCCATGGTACCTTATTTTTGTGTGGTAGAGAAAGCAAGTAGTTTCTGGCCTTTAAATTTATTATACAATTCAAATCTTCTTGGGAAGGGGATCCAAGTATACCTAAAAAATATGAATACAAACAATAGTGCATTCTGTGAAAATCATATTAACACAGCTGTATCATATCTGCTAAAACTCAGTATTAAAACTGCTGGGAAGGAGATTTCAGACCAAATGTTTTAAGGATAGAGAATACCTGAGTAGTTTTTAGAAACTTTTACTAAAAACCATTTGTTACATAAATAAATGGATCTGAGTTTTCTAATGACGTGTAATCTTTCAGAAAGATCTCAGTAAGTAGTGTACCTAAAGAAAGTTTTAAAAAATTGACCTGGACCTAATAATAGATGAGCTTTTAATTTATTTTTTTAAATTTTGTTTTAAAAATATATCTGCTGATGTAGTAAATAAATTGCTAAGTATTCTCCAGTTGTCCCCAAAACAATGATAACCTGTAGCAATTGCTGCAAAAATAACGAGAGGGGAGAGCAGAGACACCTGCAGATGCACACCCTACACAGTGACCCACTGGAGAAAGACCAGCCCAGCTGGCAGAAACGATGGAGAGGCAGATGTGGAAATGCTGCTTTTCCATAAAGCTTACCAAGGATATGGTTAAGTTGGTCAAGGTAGTGTTTTCCTGGGAAGATGGGTCTGTTGGAGAGCATCTCTGCCAGAATGCAGCCCACTGACCAGATGTCAATAGACTTGGTGTAACCCTGCAAGTGAAGCAGAAACACATTTTTGTCAAATTTTTGTATAATAACAGCAAGTGTTACTTTAGTAAACTGTGAAAGTGCACACAAATCATCTTTTTCTTTGTTAGATGAGTCCTGCTTGCTCATGCTGTTTGGTTTCTCTGTACAAATGAAATAATTAAGAACCATATATCAAAACACTATTTTGAAGGGGTAGCAAGAACTGAAGTCTCCAAGAGACAATTTTCAAAAAGGATTTTTTAAGTTTAGCTAAATTTGTTACCAACTGCAAATTGTTGAGATTCCCTAATTTTATAACCAATTTAAACTAAAACATTTTGGAAACCAGGTATTCTGAATTGCACAGCCCCTGACAGAGTGCTGAACACGTGTCAAAGAGCTGTCCCTGAGGGGATCTAAGCTGCACTCCAGGACCAGGCCTTTGGCAAAGGGGGAAATGGCCAAAGCAATGGCTGCTGCTTGGCTGCTCTGTCCAACACCACCGGCAGGAGGAGGTGCAGATGCTGGGAGCAGAGCACAGCAGTCCCTGGGGTATAACAGGAATGGAACAGAGGGATATCCCCATGTATGGCCAACCCGTGCCAGCCCCAGGAAAAGGCACAGCAGTGACACCCGTCAGTGACAGGGCCCCACCATGCCTGGCCTGCTGCCACTGCCCCTCCCCTGGGAAGGCTCTGTCCCCACTGTCCCCACTGTCCCCACAGCCACTGGGCTCCAGCTCCTCAGGATTCATCCCTTCACCATTTGTGTTCAAGGTGCCAGAATCATAAAAGGAATCACACATTAAACCAGGAACTTTTAACCTGACCACCTCTTACAAACACAAAATATATTTGTTGTGATACCTTTGATAAGTAGATATGTGGATAGCCCAGTGTTGTGGCCTCAGTGAGGGTTTAAAATACAAGATGTGAGTTTAAAATACAAGAAGCTGAAGGAAAACACACTTAAGTAGTCAGATGTCTATTTGCTTGGACATGCTACTGATGCACCAAAACACACCCACCAACTGGAAAAGCTGTAAATCCTACAGGAACAACAGCTGTCCCAGGATACCAAATACAGCTCCAGGTGTCACTCGGGTGCTTTGCTAACAGGTGTCTGGCTGTGGGAGTGAACACTGGGGTTCTAAAGGACACCCCCCACCCACACAAGGATTGGATGCACCTTAAAACAGCCACAGAACACAACAGTAATTCCAAATACATAAAAACCAAAGGAACGATTTCATGAAGACTATGGGAATGCAATTAAGACTGACACATAAGAAGGATCACATGCCTTCATTCAGAATCAGATTCACCCTCATTATACATTCTAAACCTAAATGAAGATGTCAAGATGACATTAAGGCAACATTTGCAGCCTCGATGGAGGCAGCAGCAGAATGCTCACTCCTAGCACTCCTGTCCTGCTCAGTGGCACAGCAGGTGATGGAAGCAGCCTCGTGACTGGCAAGGAACTGGAGGTGTGGGAAGTTGAGCACGTGATTTCTCAGTTCTAGTACCCAGTAATTGATTCTGGAATCACAATTTATTTCAAGCCAGCAGCTCTACTGGAAACCATGCCCACTTCTCCCCAAGACTGTGCGTGCGTTCTGATCCTAAAAACACACAAGGGCTCGCTGTTCCAAGCCCAGTTGGAGCTCACAAGGGAAAAAGCAGCAACAGCAGCACCCCAGCAGCTCCCTGTGGCCTTACCTTAGAATTCAGCATGATTTCAGGAGCCCTGTACCAACGTGTGGCCACATACTCTGTCAGGAATCCTGTGTGATCATGGTCGGGATCTGCAACGCGAGCCAATCCAAAGTCACAAATCTGGTTTTAGAGAATAGGAAAAAAAAAGCACATTAGACACATTTCCAACACTACAACATTACTGATTCACCATTTCCCAATCAATGTAACACCCACAAATGCAGAGATGGCAACCTATGCTTTTAGAAAAGTTACTGCACAAAGGTGAAGAAAAATGTTTGGATCAATTACAAAGAATATCCAACTGCATTCAGGGCCAGTAAGAATAAGTAAAAAAAGGAAACAGTTCACAATTTATGCTGCACTACAGGCTTGCTTACAGCACCTTTGCCAAACAGGCAAAGATACACTGCTCCAACCTCTCAGAAACTCACCAGAAAACAAAAAGAATAGCAATTAAGACTTTCAGAAAACCTAATTAGCAACCAACACATTTGTAACCAAGTTCAACACCCAATTTTACAAAAGCTATCATCATAACTGCATCTTTGCATAAGAAACAACCTATCCAATCATGAGATAATGGTAGGCTGAAGAGATTATGGGCTGTTGAAGGAAGCATAAGCCTAAAAGACAAAAAAAAAATCCCCCCAAAAGAAAACACAAGCAAGAAAATATTTCTCAACCCCTTATAAGGAAAATAATTTTATCTAACTATGAAAAGAAAAACAAACACCAATTTAGACTAGTGAGTTCAGCAAAAAGAAAAAGGTGGTTTTAGTTATGCTCCTGTAAGAAGGCTCCATGGTTTTCAGAGCTATTTACTGTCTAGAGAGAAATTAAGCAAATTGAAAATGTGAAGACAGAGTGCTGTGGAGCAGAGCAGATGTTCCTTTCTTACCGTCCCAAAGGTCAATGGCAAGGTTGTTGAGTGGCACATTAGACACATTCACAAGCTTCTGCTGCTCCCCAAAAAACAGCAGGTTATGATTGCCACACAAAGTGTGTTTCCATGAAAGAATACATAGTTTCAGGAAAACAAGGCATCAAATGTAGGAGTGGCAAACACTGGGAGGTTCCTCTGCTACATTTGTTTTATAATATTTACTCTTAGCTAGTTAATTGTGTACAGTGATTATATTGAAAACATGAAGTGAAAATAGGCTGTAGTCAACAAAGTCAGTAATGGAAAATCCTACCACAACCACAGAAACCTCACTTTGCCCTGGCAGATATTTCTTAACTTTCCTGTAGGGACACCCTGTCAGTGAAATTACTGATAGATCGGGAAGAAATACTTCACCTGACTAAAAGCTGCATCTGAAAGACAAAACTCACAGCTGACTGTTACACAGGGGGTCTGAAGGAAAGGCAATGATGAATGTCATAAGCCCAGCTGTGTCCCATTACTTTAGCTACATATTCAAAAAATAAACCCAGCTCCCCGAATCCTTAGAAAACAGCCCCAAAAAGAACCTTTCTAAAGCATGGCAAGGTTCTCCCAGGCTACAGCAACAGAGCAGCTGCCTTGTGTGCAATTAGCTTGCATAAAGAGACTCAGTACAAATAATCAGAAGAACCTCCTCTAAAGACAGAAATGAAGAAACTGTAGAGGACAGCTTAGAAACGTCAGAAAATAATTATGCAGCAGGCAAAATTGTTGTAATCTCTTCCTCCTAACCTTGAAAAAGCCAGATAAGATTACAGGCAAAGGGACTTGTGCAGAATTTCAGTATTACACAAAAGCAAAGCACTAGGGTTTGTCACATTAAAACAAAAGAAGAAAGACACTCTCTGGTCCACAGTGAAAAGCAAGAACTGAATTACAGAAGATGGCTCTGAATCTCTCAACTCAAGTAGAAAAATGCTCATGGGATGGAAAGGAAGAATAATGACAAAGAGAGCTCATTAAAATGACAAAAAGCCTCTGCTGACTGGAGCAGAAACAGGTTAAGCAGAAAAGCAGAAACACCATTAGTGAGAAAGACTTCAAGGCTGAAGCTGCAAGGAAGAGGTTTTGGCTGCCAGGAGTGACAGCACAGAGGGACAGGGACGCTGGAGGTGCAGGCTCTGCCAGGCACAGCTCTGGCTGCAGCTGGGCAGGGCAGAGCCCTCTCACCCTGAGCCCAAAGGACACCCAGAGAGCAGCTGCCCTGCTCCAGGGGCTCTGGGGCCACTGCCCATCTAATGATGATGCACAGCAGGCAAAGCACAAGGAGTTGCTTTTTAGGCTTCTCCACGTGAATGAAAACAATGACAAAAATAAAATAAATAATCTGAGAGCAATATAATAACAGGCAAATTTTCTTGGCATTTTCACTAAGTCATAGCAGAGAATAAAAAACTACATAATGAAAGACTCAGGTTTGTCAGTCAGCACTTCATGCCTTGGAGAGACAGAACAGATGCTAGTGAGACAGAAGAAATTACTTCCCTGCTAAATAAATTTTAAAATAATAGATAAAACCAGCATCCTAGCTATATATTTAGCTTCCACTTCTTGAAAACAATGTTCTTGCAATCAGTATCAGAGTTTTTTAAACAGAGATGGCTTAAAATTGGATAAAGCTATCAAGCAGATGGGAAGATTTAGGAGGATCATGTACATGCAACCATCTACTAAGCAAACGAAATGACACCAAGAGTACTACAAATATACTGAAATATCTGAAGTTGTATTGCTGAGTAGCCTGTGCCTCTGTGTATTTGTACAAAAGGAAACAGAAAAATTAAGTTTAATTGTTACTGATAAGATGGTGGTTCAAACAGTTGCATCTCCTGAGTAACTGGTAAAATCATGAAACACTAACTTGCAGTTTTCCTTTAAAAAAATCCCTCTCTCATCACCTTTTCATGCCTGCTGCAGTAGGTAACAATTCTTGGTCATTTAATAATTGTGGGTGTTCATTATATAGACAGAATTGATGATGCAGCCAGTCTTTAGAATGGACCAGCACACAGACAGCAAGGAACTGTGTGACACTCTTGGAATTGTGACAAACCTGTACAGCTCACAACTGGCTCACACTTTGAAGAGGGTATTTTTGTTTTGTGGTTTGTTTATTGAGAAAGTTAGAGCTACACTAAAAATCAAAGGGTAATTAGGAGCAACACAGTATTCAACAAACACAGTTGTACCACCTGGGATCAAGAACTGTAAACTCAGCAATTCCACTCCATCAGTGGCCAGCAGCAAATACATGAAATATATACATTATATTTATATAGACCATGAAAAGGGAAACAAATTCCAATGCCTCTCCCATCTCCCATGGATCTGCCATTGTGGGACTCTAAACCACAGGGAGCACTCAATGAGGGTTTTTTCTGCTAACTTGCTTGGTGGTTTTTTAAAAACTGCAATATCTAGAGTGCTCTGTGATACCAAATTCCACAGCTTAACAATGCTGCAAGTAAACTTCACCTGCTCCTTTCCTCCCTCACAGCCTTTTCAGTAGGTACAGACAGTGAGCACAGCTGCTCCCCACTCACCATCCCTGTGCCACTGCCAACGTTATCAGTGTTGGCAAATCCTACTGGATTCCTCTGCTCCTCACGCAGCATCTCCCAGCAGAGGAGACCCAGCTAAATAGGCCTTTGTGTTCTAGAGAGCAGTACTCTGAAATCCTGCTCTCCTCATATCACTGGGAGAAATGCAATAGCTACCATCACAGGCTCAAAACAAGTGAAAGGTAGAGAATGGCATGTTTTCAGTTTATTCTCTATTTCTGTTCTATTTCTTCACACTTGGTTTGCTTTACTGAATGTCACTAAGCATTGAGCTGACATTTTCCAAGAATCATAACAGCTCTAAGCTCATCCTTCTGTAGTATTAACGAGTACAGAGCTGATCACTGGAAATGCAAATTAGGAACATTCCCTCCCTAAGTAATTGCCATGCATTTAATCAGCACTGAATCTCACATGCTGCTTTAGCTGCCCACTAATATGAAGTCCTTTTCCAACAACAAAACATTACCAGTGTAAACAGAGAAACCAAATCTTGAAACATACACAGTTCTGAGTTTACTTTTGAGGTAAACATGATGCTGCTTCAGATCAGTATTTTCACCCAGCTTTCAAAGAGGCTGTTTCCAAGTCAGCCTCCAGATGGAAACAGTGATGCACTCATTACAGCAGTCTAACAGATTCTTAGTCACTCAAATCTTGATAATTATTTTATCAAACCAAATAATGTTTTGGCAATCTTTCCAGGACAAAAATCACATTGATACCCAGTAAAATCACCACATTCATGGTTACAGCAGTTTGTTTATGAAAACCATGTCAGGAAAATCTGTAAGAAATTTCCACTCACCTTGAGATCACATGTGGTGTTAAGCAGCAGATTGGAAGGTTTGAGGTCACGATGAAGCACATTGGCTGAGTGGATATACTTTAACCCTCTCAGAATCTGGTAAAGGAAGTAACAAATGTGGTCATTGCTGAGGTGTTGAGTCTTTAGGAGCTTGTAAAGATCTGTCTCCATAAGATCTTGCACAATGTATCTGTGAGGTATTAGATGTAAGGCAGCAAAAAAACTCGGTGTCATATCAGATATCAACGTACAGTACCCAAGGGAACTTCTAGAACATCTTTTCTCTCTTATTTGTATGTTTGATGACAATTATGACATTGTGTAGCTGATTCTTGCTTTAGAAGCTTGGAATCCAATCAACCCTGTTACATGATGCAGCCCTTTATAGAATAAAAAGGCACCAGCATGTGATCCTCTCAAATTAATCACCATAAACCTCTATTTGTTCATAGTAGAGCTTGACTTTTATTGGAATCTCAATTTCATCTGATTCCTATCCTGCTTGCCAAGAAACAAAGGGTGTTTTTTTGGTTAATGAGTAATAAGCTTCCAAGATACTTGTTTGCAATTGCATAAAAGCAGGAATGTAGAAGATCTCATCATTTCTGATAAATTTTCTCTACCATCTCCCCACTTTAAAAATTCAGCTGTTCTTCTCTATACGTATTTATTGTGGTACATTGAACACAACAGTCCTCCTCTTACCAAAACTAATTCCCAATGTACTCATTCAGATTATTTTTTTTAATAAGATTGTAATGAAAATTAAAAGAAGGGGCTTTTTTGGTTTTTTTTTTGCTTGGACAGGAATGAGTTAAGTAAAATTTTCTTCCCCTGTAATTCAAGAACATTTGAGACAATTATAGCAGAGTCTGGACATTTGACTTTCTCATCAAAGCAACCAGTTGTAACAGCAGCTCAACTAAGAGCAAATATAGTTTTAGAATTATGTGACCAAACTAATTCTTCTCTAGAATGTTGAGTTCTTTGCCTTGGAAGATAAAAATTATTCCCTCTTCCTGGAAAAGAAAGAATTAAACTAGTGCTCATCTACATCAAAACTATATCAAATCAACTAAAACCAATCAAATACTATTAACTTCCCTTTTGATTTACAATAATAGAAGCCAACTTTTATTAATATTTAGGAAGGAAAAGGATGAAGGGGAAGAAACAATCAAAAGAGAGGAGGCAACCATTACTAATGATGCCAAAAAACACTTTGAAAGGATACACATCTTTCATCTGTTCAATAGTTGGAGCTCTGATAATGTCATTTATTCCAATAATGTTCTCATGCCTGAAGCGCAGCAGGATCTTGATCTCTCTCAGAGTTCTCTGGCAGTATGTCTGGTGCTCAAAAGGACTGATTTTCTTTATAGCAACTCGAACTTTGTTGACGTTATCATAAGCAGAACTAGAAGAGAATCAATAACATCAATTACAAGGAACATTAAATTAATTCAATTCAGAAAGAAAGAATGTGAATTCATTTAATACAGGGGTGGTGCATTTTGTTTACATTTATTTTTATCAAATGGGGAGAGGTGACAGTGACACATCTTTTAGTTTGGTGAACTGACAAAACACTGCTGTTCTTTCACCAGCCTGTTTGGGTCTCTACCCATTGGCTCTCCCAGCTGACTTGGAGTCTCTGATTCATGGGTCCTGCACAAAGGGAAAGGTATTTGGTCTTTGTCCTCTTTATCAGCCTGTGCAACAACCAAGTCTGAGGTTTTTTCTATATGCTGCAATCATCAGAAGTTTGAGAAAGTTCATCTAGAGTTAACCCATTCACTTTGGGGTGCAGAAAAACCTTCAGAAATCATCTCTTAAGCAGCAAAATACCACATCCTGTGTCCAGCTCCCACAAGTAAGAGCAGTTGTCACAATCTTTCATGCTTCCATCAATCTACACTGTCAGCACCTCCACAACAGACAGGGAAGAACAGAAGGGATGGAGAATTTGTGCCAGCACCTTGCCAAGTGCAATTCCAAAGGTAAGCAGAGTCTGAGGAAAGAAAGCTGTATCAGGTACATACATGGAGTGGAAGCAGGCAGCAGCACAATGAGGATCACAGAGACTGTGAGCCATGGTAAGGAACTCACTGCCTCCTACATTTCCATGACTCTTTCCAGGAGCTCAAAACTCCATTCCCAGCTACACCAATAAATAGGCTCAATAAATAGTATCTCTGTTCAACATGCCTACACATTCCTGAAGAATATCACAGCCTGAGTCTAATTAAAAGTCTCAGTAAAAGCTGAGACTTGATTTTCTGAATATCATACCTGATTTTCTAAATTCTGGACTATGAATCCTAACAAGGTTTAGTATGTTTTCTATGGTCTTGTTTACAAAGATGACAAAGCATCTTTGTAAACATATCATAACCTCTACTGTATTAGAAGTATATGTTAATTTAATTAATTAAAATTTAGATGTGTTTATATGAGTCTTGTCCCTACTCAAGCCCGCTACTGAATTATTAGGAAATTAAAAAATACTCAAGCCTATATTCCATGCATATCTGTTAGCCTCAACTATTTAATATAAAATTAGCCATAACTAGCCAAGGAGGCTTTACATCCTACCAGTTTTCTATAATTGAGTCCCAGAACTTTCTTTGATACACTTTTATTTTGCCTTACTCTGCTGAGATGTCCAGGTACGTGGTGACCAGGTAAAGCAGAGTAACATGCAAAAATCCAATTAGAAAAGGAGACCTTTGAGGAATTCAAATACCTGGCCACATCAAGGCTCTTTGACAGCCAAGCAGAAATATGGTGTAACAAGGTGTTTTTGAGATGGTACTGTCATCACTGGATGCAAAACTGCTTAAAATTTCTCACTTTCATTATTCAAATGGGCATAAAGTTCAGTCAATTAGGGTCACCAGGAAGATCTTCATAGAGCACATGCAGTTACATATGTAACTGTAACATCCTTTTTGCACGGTTTTCCCACTCAATCCCTTTGACCTGCCTGCATCCCCAGCCCTGGCCTGTGCCCACAGACAGCACCATTTATTTGCCTCTAGAAACACTGAACTCAAATGCTCCATGGGGAGCTTTGAAATGCCACATGCTGAGCAAGTATTCATTACAACTGTTGCTGCTGCATATGTATAGATAACACATTAGCAGCTCCTCAGTCCCAAAATAGATAATAACCAAGTGCTGTAAGTGGAACTTGGCATTGCCTCCAAGAGCACTTGGGCTCCAGTAATTTTCTTAGCTCATCACCTGTGGTGTTTACAATAGACCAGTGAGGTCTGTCACAAGCAGAAAACAAAACCAGAAATAACCCTGAAGCAGGAACAACCTGGATTTGGGGAAGAAATGAAAGAATGCTATGGGCCATTTCATCATTATAAACAAACCTCCTGCCTCCTCCTCTGTACTGACCTGAGCATTTTTTCTGCCACAATGCAGAATCTTACTTCCTTTCAAAGGACTGGACAGCAGCAGCTATGCAGACCACAAAAAGGCAAAATGCCAATATTTACCCATTGATGCTACTTAAATAAAAGCTCCCAGTCGCTTAAAATATTTGATAAATCAGTTATTGCTTCACAAGGGTTGCTTATTGATGGGAAATACGTTATTTTTCCTTGTACAGATTAAATGAACATGAATTCATCAATTAAACATACCAAGATTTCCTCTCTTGTAGCTGTTTCCCCTACACTCCTAAGCATTTCTAAGCAAAAGGTTTATGCTGTCATTTAGAAAAGGATGGCTAATTTTGCTTTCTGATGGTGCAACTATAATACACCTGGTTCACTGAGGAAAAAAGCTGCATATTTGGAATAAAGATGCAATCAGCTTCCTCTCCAGGGTACCTTCCCCATACAGTCACCACTAGCGCAGCTAAGCTTCCATTGCCTCAGCTGAGGGGAGCAAAACTGAAATATTGTCTAGTTGGAACATTAAAAGGGTCACTGGGTTTATTGCTGGTGTCACACTTTTTGAAATATAAGCCTTTCTGCAACTTGATTAAACATCCAAGAGATTATCTCAACTTCTGTGAGCAAGAAGCTAATCATACAAGCAGTCACTTACTGGTGCATAATATTTTAAATGTCATGCATAATGCAGGTACATTGAGAATCTGTATTATCTAGTTAACAGCATTTCACATTCTCAGCCACAGCCCTTAAAGCACATATTGCTTAAGTAAACTCTGTCACCCTTTAAAAATTCTTTCTGGATTTGACACGTGCTATAGGAAAGTGTAAAAGCTGCACATTGGGCTGAACTTTAGTGGAACTGAAGTGTCAGGCTACAGCCAGACCCCATTTGGCCGATGAAGCCCTATGGAAATAACTGCCTGACTATGCAGGAAACCCCTGACACTCCCAGACCGGGGTCCTTTGGAAGGCAGACTGAGCCACCTCCCAAGCTTTCCCTCCATCCCAGCGTTCACCTCCTGCCACCAGCAGCAGATTTACACACTCCTGCCCAGAGCTCTGCTGCAGAAATGTGCTGCTCAGAGCGTGCATTGCAGCAGCTCAAACAAAACCCCCCCGAAGGAGCAATGCAGGTCCTGGTGCATCTCCCTGCAGCCCGTGCTCGGCTCATCCCTGCGGGCTGCAGCCGCAATTACTGATCTCATGGGCGACTCCTGGTCACCCGTGCTCCCCCTGCAGTCCGACCAGGACCAGCTCCACAGCGCATCCTAAATTTAGATTATTTGCATTCTGGCAGTGCTGTCCCAGTGTGCACAGTGTAACCTCTTTGTCTGGGCTGTCAGCTTCTACTAAAGCTCACAACAGCTGGTTATATTTGCAATGAAGCAGTTAACTGGACATCTTCTGAAGTCAGGAACTTTCTATTATCTTGACTTTTTTCCAGAGAAGATAAAAATCTGTAAAATGGGAATAACAGTTCCCATATTAAGAACTCTTAGAGTGCCAGTTTATTGCTTTTAGTTTCTAATCGTTAAGCACATGTACTGATCATCACCCACAGAACTGTCCCATTATGATGAATCTAGACACCAACACTTTAAATATTCAACACTTTAAATATTCAGAAGGGAGGATTTATTTCCACCCCAATCATGTGCAGCCTCACAAGCTGAAGCAACCATTGAGCTGTGAGTGCTATTTGTCTGTAATGTAATAAATTTAAATATAGATTTTTGCAACTGCCCAACTGTTGTAGCCACAACATTATTCCTATTTCAAGCCGTGGTTACTAAACTGTGACAACCTGCAATGGCACCGTTATTTAGATACTTTTGCAACCTCGTGTGAAAATCAATACAAGCCCCAGCAGCAGAGTTTACCATTCCCGATTTTAAGTATCTTGAAAATACATAACAAAGTTTTGACTAACTAAAACAAAATAAACAAATGAGCATTTATAACCCAAGAAGTTGCACCACATAACTTTTAAAGCCAGTTTTTATCCTTCTACTCTCTGGTACCAACTTCCTTTTTAAGCAGAAGTGCAGGGCGGGGCTGCTTCCAGGAGCAGTGACCAGAGAGGCACCGCAGCCCTGAGCCCACAGCGCTGCCCAGGCGGCTTCGGGCCCCTCTGCCATGAACCCGAGGGAAGGGAAGGGCAAGGGAAGCTTTCAGCAGGCACGTGTGGCCCAGTGCCAAGCTCAGCCCTTCTGCCCACAATGCCTGCTCCATGTTCTTCACCCATTCCTATTCCTCACATGTCTCACCGGGGCAGAGCTGGAACAAGTGAGAGCACGCTGCAGGAAAGGAGCCAGCTCCGGGCAGTCCCTGCATCCCGCACGGGGCTGCTCCTGCACACCGAGCAGCAACCGCCGGCTCCTCTGCCACGCTGCCTGCAGGCTGCCCCCACCACGGGATGCTCCTCCAACATCTCCAGGATTGTTCACCTCGTGGCTGTTCTACAGGCTGCTCTCAGCACACACACACACACAAAATACACAACGCTACCGGCAAACATACTCATTACAACTCGAAATAAAAGACTGATTTGAAGTTTAAAAGGGATTTTTTTTTTTTATCAGTAGCTTTGTGTTGCTGTGGAAACATGATTCCAAGGGCATATCCAGAGATAAGAATCTTTGTGAAATATTGGGTAATTCGGCTTACTCACAGAATAGGAAAGGCAAAAATAATTCCCAGCAAGCAAGCTGATCTACAGAGATCTTTAATATTTTCATTCAGTCTACATTTAGCTCAATCATGGACATTTCCACAACACGCTGACATTTATCAAGTTACAATGCAAATAGCTTAAACTTATTTTTAAGACTCCTGTAAATAAAATAATGCAATATTGTGGCACAGTAACAACCACCCTAACAGACTGTTTGCTACAACTTTTGGGGATGGGGAAGGTGCTTGCAAAAGTGCAGATTTGCAGAGGGTTTTGGGTTTTTTGTTTGGAGCTGTTTTTTAATAATCAGATGTTAACCCTTCCAGATTC